CTATAGTTACCTCCCTTACATCTTTGTTCAGTAATGAAGACTTCAAAGTTACAAAATTACCCTTACAACTTATTAGAGCATCTTTTTATTTAAACTATAAATGCCAGATCCCTTTCTAAACTTTCACTAGACCTAATGTTTTTATAGAATAAAATTACTTTATTATTTTCAACCTAACTAGGTATTTTTTCTAATTAAGTGAAAATTTTTAAGAGTATTTTAGTAACTTTCCATCTGAATTGATAGATATAAGGGTAAAGTGGGTACTTTTGAAAAACTAATTCATTATACCAATGCTTCAATGCTTCATATTTAGGACAATAAAAAAGGGAGGTAACTATAGGTTTTTTCAATACTATGGGTCTGTTTGGTTCACAGTCAGAATTGAAATCTAAATGGTCTTTTCCCATAATTTGTTTGATTGGGAATGACAATTAGAATCAGCAAGAATGGGATTTCATTCCCAAGGGAAAAGAGGGGCAGGGAATGGCCATTCCCTCAAATGGGGGAATGCCATTCCAGTAGGAATGGGAATGAAATTCCAATTCCACCCAACCAAACAGTTGGAACTGGAATAACCCATTCCGATTTCGATTTCATACCCCTGTCCCCATGAACCAAATGGGGCCTATAGAGGAAGTTTTTTTGAAAGTGAAACATCAAGTGAGGTTTTTATGATTGTCAGAAACCTTAGGGGATGTTTTTACATTTTATCCAATTGAAAATTAGACACTCACAACTCACCATGTATACTTGTTAAACTGGTATGCATTAGTGCCCCACAGTTGGGCGCCTCACACAATTGAAAAACGCCTCCTGTCCTCCCACACATGCCGCTCCCTTGACGTGTGCAGAGCTAATAGGATGAACGTTAGCTAATGTCCTTCTTGTTAGCTCTGCATGTGTCAAGGGGGCGACATGTGTGGGAGTACAGGTGGCATTTTTCTTGATTATGTGGGATGCCTTCAGGGCATTGGTGCGAATTCCATTAAACTGTAATACTAAGATTAGGGGTGAGCAAATGGGTAGATTCTATTCAGAACTGACCCTACTCAATCTATTATAGGGTAGGGTCTAAATCCAAATTTTTGGAATCGATTCCCACCCATGCCAGTTCTAGGGTATAGGGGTTTACCTTATCTAAACCGGCCTTGGTTGGCCTTGGACCCGGACTTGCCTTGAAATAAACTCTGGAATACTTTTTTGGGATGTGAAGATTTGAACCCAAGCATTTATGGTTACAAAGGTCATGGTCTCACTTGACCATGACCTTTAAGTTTAAGTGATTTGATCATTTGTTTTTATGTTAATGTTTGAATGTGTATAATAAGTAATGTAAAAGGTAATATTTACAAAATTTAAATTTAAATTATAAGTTTTTTAAGGTAATTTAAATTATAAGTTTTGAACCATAAAATGATAGTCTACATATTAACTTCCTCAATTTAATCAAGAAAGATAATATAAGATTTTAAGTTATTTATATCATATTTATTAAAAATCAAGTTTTTAAATAACATGTTTTTTTTTTCCACAGGAAAGAGTAAAAAAAGAACAAATTCCACAGGTAGACCCTAAAACCAACCTTAAAACCGACCTTCATAGGATATGTTCCAAACCGAACCAACCAAGTAAGACTACGCATAGGGTGAGGGTGATTGGATCGGCTGCCAACAGAGAGCCCCCCATAGCCCATCCCCTCTGTGTAGGTGTGCATTGGGAAGTGGGAACATTTCCCTTGCTTGTGATGGGGAGATATTCCCAATGCACAGACGGGATGGGCTGTGGGGGGCAACCGATCCGATCTCTACTTCAGTTACTCAAAATATAAGATGATAAATACAAAACATGAATGAAAAATGAAAAGACTTTAAAACCTAACAATTCGTGCAGTCCCAACCAAACCCACATGAGCCCAGTGTAAATTGTGTTAGGTTTAGCGTAGATGGGTTTGGTAGTGAGCTTCTTAAAGCTCATGCATGCACTGCAAAAAATGCCCACTAAGCTGACAAGAAATAAGTCCCAAAATCAAATTCGTAAAAACAAGCTTCAAAGTATCGATACAGGTGGATATGTCGGTATTGGTACTTTTTTTAAGTTTTATTTATTTTTTTTCAAAACTATTTCAGTGGGATCAGTTTAAGGCCTAGAGGAGCATATTGAGAAGCCATTGGCACGATACGTATCGGCCGATACAGGTCCATACGTATCGATACTTTGAACCTTGCGTAAGAGGACAAACCATCTTATCTTTTCAAAATAAAACACTTTCATGTTATTAAAATGCATTATCCTCTTTGACCCCTCAAGGAATGGAGACAATCTTAGAAAATCCATTACATTTCATAAAATGTACAAATTAATAATAGTTGATAACTTAATATGAGATTAGGGAAAATTCCTCATTAGTACCCTGTATTTTGCACCTAGTGATTCAGTGCCTGAACTTTCAAAACGTGTCAATTTAGTATCTGCCATTAACCAATTGTTAACCATTCGTTAAGCGGCATTTGAAAAAGACACAAATGCCTTTGAGTGTCACCTATTTTTCTTTATCAACCATCCAAACATTGACAAAAAGTTAACAGTCCCAAATCCTTGCCTCTTCTATTCAAAAAAGTTGGGGTCATGTATCAGTGGACATTCTGGTAACCCCAACTTTTTTAAATAAAAGAGGCAAGGATTTGGGACTGTTAATTTTTTGTCAACATTTAGATGGTTTATAAAGAAAATTAGATGACACTTGAAGGGCATTTGTGTCTTTTTCAAATGCCACTTAACGACTGATTAACAGTTGGTTAATGGCAGGTACTGAATTGACACATTTTAAGTACTGAATAATCGCATTTTAAAATTCAGGGACTGAAGTGTCACTAAGTGCAAAGTACAGGAGGATACTATTCAAGAAATTTCCCATGAGATTACTACATAAAATCCATGGTGGTGTGATGGTAAAATCTCGGTCTGTAGGTGTGAGAACGTGGATTCAAGTCTAAGAGAGGCAACTTTGTGAAAAACTGAAAATGAAATAAAGGCTTATCACATCCACCCCTCCCAAGAACTGATGAGGGCAGATTTGGCCCTCCAGTGAAATTGCGACACGTGGCACCTCGTGACAACTAGGCAAACACCCAGGCAAACAACTTACCAAGTTGGTGTCCCACCCGGGCACCGGTCTGGCTGGCCTGGCGCGACCTACGAGCGGCCTACACGCGGCCTGGCGCGGCCTACACGCGGCCTGCGCGACCTGGCTGG